GCGGAGCAAAGCCCTCTGGTTGAGAGTACATTTCTCACCACCAAACTGCCGAGGAGGAAATGGGGCTCGGCAGGAGGGGTGCTCCCCTGAGTGTGTCCACGAGGAAGGAGGGGAGTCAGGGTCTGAGTCCCATCTCTTTTTTTTTTTTTAATATATATATATTTTATTGACTTTAGAGAGGAAAAGAGAGAGAGACACCCATGATGAGAGAGAATCATGGACCGGCTGCCTCCTGCACACCCCCCGGCCCAGCTAAGGATCGAGCCCGCAACCGGGGCGTGTGCCCTGCCTGGGGATCGAACCCTGACCTCCCGGTTCCTGGGTGGACCGACGCTCCGCCACCGCGGAGCCACGCCGGCCGGGCTGAGTCCCCTTTCTGGCCCGTTCCCACGGGGTCGCACGGCTCCTTGCCCGGGGCCGGCGGGCCCGGGGTCTGAGCCCCGCCCTGACCGGCGCCCCCGCCTGCCCCAGGTCTACCAGCTCAGCGGCATCAGCAAGCTCGTGGACCTGCTGCGCAGCCCCAACCAGAACGTGCAGCAGGCGGCGGCCGGAGCGCTGCGCAACCTGGTCTTCCGGAGCAACGCCAACAAGCTGGAGACGCGGCGGCAGGGCGGCATCCGCGAGGCGGTCAGCCTGCTGCGGGCCACGCGCAGCGCCGAGATCCAGAAGCAGCTCACCGGTGCGCGGCAGGGGGCGGAGCCACGCAGGGGCGGGGCCACGCGGGGGCGGGGCCAGGGCGGAGAGGGGCGGGGCCACGCGCAGCACCGAGATCCAGAAGCAGCTCACGGGTGGGCACAGGCCCGGGGGCGTGGCCTCGCACGGGGCGTGGAGGGGAGGGGCCACGCCCAGGGATAGGGAGGGGGCGGGGCAATGGGGTTTTAGGGTGCGTGGCCAGTCACAGGGGCGGGGCCGCAGGTAAAAGAGGGTCGTGGCCATGAACAAGGTGGGAGGGCGGGGCCATGGGCTGGGAGAGGGGCGTGGTCACCCAGGGGCGGGAGAGGGGTTGGGGCCTTGCACGGGGGTGGCCAGACGGGACCCTGGCATTCTGCATGCGCCTGAGGCCCAGGTCTTGGGGAGGATCTTGGGTAAAGGGGTGCAAGGTTGGTGTCCAGGCGGGACCCCCTCCAGCAGGCCTGGTGGGGGGTTTCTGGGCGAAGGGGACAGGGGCCAATGGGTCTCCAGCATCCCCCACCCCGGTTTCCAAAAAAAAGCGCTGAACACTGAGGGCCAGGCCCTATGCAGCCTCCATCGGCCGGGACTGTGAGACCCGGGGCCGGGAGACAGGGATGGGTTTTCCTGGAATGACGCTCCGGTGGAGAACTGAGCCCGGCCCTGGCCGGGGTGGCTCAGTGGATAGAGCGCCGGCCTGCGGACTCAAGGGCCCCAGGTTCGACTCCAGCCAAGGGCACATGCCCAGGTTGTGGGCTCGATCCCCCCGCCCTCCCTGTGGGGGGCGTGCAGGAGGCAGACAGTCCATGGTTCTCTCTCTCATCATGGATGTTTCTAGCTCTCTCTCGCTCTCTCCCTTTTCTCTGAAATCAATAAGACGAAAACAGAGCCCAGGAGGAGACCCGGAACTTCACAATTCCTACTGAAAACCACCCACCCGTGGCTTTTCTTGTTTTAAACGTTGTTATTGATTTCTGAGAGGAAGGGAGAGGGAGCCAGAGAGAGAAACATCCACGATGAGAGAGAATCATGGGCCGGCTGCCTCCTGCACGCCCCCTCCTGGGCACGGAGTCAGCAGCCCGGGCCTGTGCCCTGAGCGGGAATGGAACCTCGGCCTCCGGTTCAGCCGGGCGGGCTGATCCGTGGTTTCCGTGTTGAGCTTCCCAGAAAGCGCAGGGGCAGGCCCGGTAGCCCAGGCCTGGCTGCGGGGGCAGGCCGGAGCAGGCTGAGGGGCGGGGACCCACCCCCCCCCCCCCCCCTGGAGCCGGCCTGTGACGGCCGTCCCCCCAGGGCTGCTCTGGAACCTGTCCTCCACCGACGACCTGAAGGAGGAGCTCATCGCGGACGCGCTGCCCGTGCTGGCCGACCGCGTCATCATCCCCTTCTCCGGCTGGGGCGACGGCAACGGCAACCTGTGCCGCGAGGCGGTGGACCCGGAGGTGTTCTTCAACGCCACCGGCTGCCTGAGGTGAGGGCCGCAGCCCCGGCCGCCCCTTCCCCTCCTCCCCGTCCCCTCCTCCCGTTCCCCCCTCCCCCTCCTCCCTGTCCCCTCCCCGTTCCTCCCCCTCCCCCTCCTCCCTGTTCCCCCTCCTCCCCGTCCCCTCCTCCTGTTCCCCTCCTCCCGTTCCCCCCTTCCCCTCCTCCCCTCCACTCCCCCCGTTCCCCCTTCCCCTCCTCCCCTCCTCTCCCCCCGTTCCCTCCTCTCCCCCCGTCCCCTCCTCCCTGCCCCCCCCTTCTCCCGTCCCCCAAGCAGCCCCAACGCAGCCAAGGCTCACTGGTCCAGGACCCAGCTGCCCCCGGGCCCCGGGGCCGCCTCCCCGCTCCCCTCGCCTCCTCCGAGGGCCCCGCCCACACAGGCAGCCTCTGAGAGCAGAACGCCTGGATCTGCACGTGCAAACAGGCTCTCCCTCCTCCCCCCACCCTCCCCCTCCTCCTCCTCCCCCTCCTCTCTCTCCTCCTCTCCCTCCCCCTCCTCCCTCTCCTCCTCCCTCTCCCCCTCCTCCCTCTCCTCCTCCTCCCCCTCCTCTCTCCTCCTCTCCCTCCCCCTCCTCCTCCCTCTCCTCCTCCTCCCCTTCCTCTCTCTCTCTCCTCCTCCCCCTCCTCCTCCTCCCCCTCCTCCCTCTCCTCCTCCCCCTCCTCCTCCTCCCCCTCCTCCCTCTCCTCCTCCCCCTCCTCCTCCTCCCCCTCCTCCCTCTCCTCCTCCCCCTCCTCCTCCTCCCCCTCCTCCCTCTCCTCCTCCCCCTCCTCCTCCTCCCTCTGGGCCCCTGGAAAAACGTGTCTCCTGTCCCGTCTTGAAGAGCCGTCCCTGAGACAAAAGTCTGTTTCCTCGGGGCCGGGGCTGGCGCCCTCCCCGCCCGCCCGCCGTGCACGTTGGCAGGAGCTGGTGCCCCTGCCCAGAGTGGCCCGAGTTCCTCTCACCTCCCGGCAGCTTTAGGAGCTGGGAGGGGGAGCCTGGAGGGCGGGCGGGCCTGGTGGGGCCCGTCCCTTAAGGGGGCTCACACCTGCTCGAGGGTTTGTCTCCCCCAAGCCCTGGGGCCTGGCAGACTGGCCCCCCTCCCCCCTGCGCCTCCCTGTCCCCTCTGGGGCCTGCGGCCAGGCCCCCTGCCCATGCCCTCTCTGCCCTCAGGAACCTCAGCTCGGCGGACGCCGGCCGGCAGACCATGCGCAACTACGGGGGGCTCATCGACGCCCTCATGGCCTACGTGCAGAACTGCGTGGCCGCCAGCCGCTGCGATGACAAGGTGAGGGCGTGGCCGGAGCGCCCGCCCGCCCGCCCGAGGGCCCCGCGGGGCTTCCGGACAGACCCCGTCCCGGCAACAGGCATCCTGCTTTTCCATCTATCTGTCATCTATCTATCTACCATCTACCTGCCTACCTCCCTCCCTACCTACCTACTTATCTATCTTCCCACCTACCTATCTATCTACCTATCTATATCTATATCTATATCTATATCTATATCTATATCTGTATCTGTATCTGTATCTGTATCTATATCCATATCCATATCCATATACTATTGATTCCAGAGAGGAAGGGAAAGGAAGAGGGAGGGAGAGGGAGGGAGAAAAACAGCAACGCTGAGTGAGAACCACAGACCGGCTGCCTCCTGCACGCCCCCCACTGGGGACGAGCCCACAACCCGGGCCTGTGCCCGGACCCGGAATCGAACCCTGTGTGTGGGGGGGGGGGTGCCTGAGCAGCCAGAGGGGGGGACCGGCAGCAGACCCCCCTACCCCCCCGGCGGCCCCCACGCGGCTCAGGCCCACCCTCCCGCCCCCAGTCCGTGGAGAACTGCATGTGCGTCCTGCACAACCTCTCGTACCGCCTGGACGCCGAGGTGCCCACCCGCTACCGCCAGCTGGAGCACAACGCCCGAAACGCCTACACCGACAAGGCCTCCACCGGCTGCTTCAGCAACAAGAGCGACAAGATGATGGTGAGCGCCGCGCCCCCCGCCCGCCCCACGGGGACTCGGTCCTGCACCCGGGACTCGAACCCGGACCTCCCGGTTCCTGGGCGGACGCTCGCTCAGCCCCGGAGCCACGCGGCCGGCCTCCCTCCCTCTTTCTCGGGGCCCCAGGAGGGGAGGGGCCCGGGGGCGCCCAGGTGGGAACGGGGGGGGGGGGGGCGGGGGCGGGGAGAGGGGGCAGCCTGCTGACCCGCCCTCGGCCCCCAGAACAACAACTACGACTGCCCGCTGCCCGAGGAGGAGGCCACCCCCAAGGGCAGCGGCTGGCTGTACCACTCGGACGCCATCCGCACCTACCTGAGCCTCATGGGCAAGAGCAAGAAGGACGCCACCCTGGAGGCCTGCGCGGGGGCCCTGCAGAACCTGACGGCCAGCAAGGGGCTGGTGAGGGCCCCTCCCCCTCCCCCACCCCCGTCTCCCTCCCCCTCCCCCTCCCCCATCTCCCTCCCCCCTCCCCCTCCCCCTCCCCCATCTCCCTCCCCCTTCTCCCTCCCCCCTGCAGAACCTGACGGCCAGCAAGGGCTGGTGAGGGCCCCTCCCCCTCCCCACCCCCGTCTCCCTCCCCCTCCCCCTCCCCCATCTCCCTCCCCCTCTCCCTCCCCCCCCCATCTCCCTCCCCCCCTGCAGAACCTGACGGCCAGCAAGGGGCTGGTGAGGGCCCCTCCCCCTCCCCACCCCCGTCTCCCTCCCCCTCCCCCTCCCCACCCCCGTCTCCCTCCCCCTCCCCCTCCCCCATCTCCCTCCCCCTCCCCCTCCCCCTCCCCCACCCCCACCCCCATCTCCCTCCTCCTCCCCCTCCCCATCTCCCTCCCCCCTCCCCCTCCCCCTCCCCCATCTCCCTCCCCCCTCCCCCTCCCCCTCCCCATCTCCCTCCCCCTTCCCCCTCCCCCCCTGCAGAACCTGACGGCCAGCAAGGGGCTGGTGAGGGGCCCCTCCCCCTCCCCCACCCCCATCTCCCTCCCCCACCCCCGTCTCCTCCTCCCTCCCCCATCTCCCCCTTCTCCCTCCCCCATCTCCCTTTACCCCTCCCCCATCTCCCCCTACCCCTTCTCTCCCATCTCCACCTCCCCCTCCCCCATCTCCCCCTCCTCTATCTCCCCTCCCCCATCTTCCTTTACCCCTCCCCCATCTCCCCCTACCCCTTCTCTCCCATTTCTCCCTCCCCCTCCCCCATCTTCCCCTCCCCTATCTCCCCTCCCCTCCCCCCCTCCCCCATTTCCCCCTCCCCCTCCCCCTTCTCCCTCCCCCCTGCAGAACCTGACGGCCAACAAGGGGCTGATGAGGGGCCCCTCCCCCTCCCCCACCCCATCTCCCTCCCCCCTCCCCCTCCTACCTCCCCCATCTCCCCCTTCCCCTTCTCCCTCCCCCCCTGCAGAACCTGACGGCCAGCAAGGGGCTGGTGAGGGGCCCTTCCCCTCCCCCACCCCCATCTCCCTTTACCCCTCCCCCATCTCCCTCTACCCCTTCTCTCCCATCTCCCCCTCCCCCATCTCCCCCTCCCCCTTCTCCCACCCCCATCTCCCCCACCCACTGCTCCCCCTTCTCCCTCCCCCCTCCCCCGGGCTCAGCCCCCTGCAGGCTGCTCCCCGCTCCCCCCTGAGGCCCCTGCGCGGGGGGGGGGAGGCCGGCCCTCTGTGCCCCCCCGCCCCCTCCCCCCCTCCGCCGGCCAGAGCTCAGCGGCCTCACGGCCTCCGTCCCTGAGCAGATGTCCAGCGGCATGAGCCAGCTCATCGGGCTCAAGGAGAAGGGGCTGCCGCACATCGCCCGCCTGCTGCAGTCCGGCAACTCGGACGTGGTGCGCTCCGGCGCCTCGCTGCTCAGCAACATGTCCCGCCACCCGGCGCTGCACCGCGTGATGGGTGAGCCGACCCGCCCCTCCTGCCCCTGCCCCGCAGCCCGGCCGCCCCCTCCCCCAGCCCCACCCCCAGCCCACAGCCTGGCACCCCACAGCCCCACAGCCCGGCCGCCCTCCCCACAGCCCGGCCCCCCACAGCCCACAGCCTGGCACCCCACAGCCCCACAGCCTGGCACCCCACAGCCCCACAGTCCGGCCGCCCTCCCCACAGCCCCAGCCCCACCCCCAGCCCACAGCCTGGCACCCCACAGCCCCACAGCCCGGCCACCCTCCCCACAGCCCCACAGTCCGGCCGCCCTCCCCACAGCCCCAACCCCACCCCCAGCCCACAGCCTGGCACCCCACACAGCCCCACAGCCCGGCCACCCCCTCCCCACAGCCCCACAACCTGGCACCCCACAGCCCCAACCCCCACCCCCCAGCCCACAGCCTGGCACCCCACAGCCCCACAGCCCGGCCACCCTCCCCACAGCCCGGCCCCCCACAGCCCCAACCCCACCCCCAACCCACAGCCTGGCACCCCACAGCCCCACAGTCCGGCCACCCCCTCCCCAGCCCCACCCCCCAGCCCACAGCCAGGGCACCTCCCCAACAGCCCGGCCCCCTCCCCCAGCCCCACCCCCCAGCCCACAGCCTGGCACCCCACACAGCCCCACAGCCCGGCCACCCCCTCCCCACAGCCCCACAACCTGGCACCCCACAGCCCCAACCCCACCCCCCAGCCCACAGCCTGGCACCCCACAGCCCCACAGCCCAGCCGCCCCCTCCCCCTGCCCCACAGCCCGGCCACCCCCTCCCCAACCCCAACCCCCACCCCACAGCCTGGCACCCCACAGCCCCCAACCCCACCCCCAGCCCACAGCCTGGCACCCCACACAGCCTCACAGCCGGCCACCACCCCCACAGCCCGGCCACCCCCCCAACAGCCAGGGCACCACCCACAGCCAGGGCACCCCCCTCACAGCCCGGCTGCCCCCCTCCAACCACACCCCCCACCCCACAGCCTGGCACCCCACACAGCCCCACAGCCGGCCGCCACCCCCACAGCCCGGCCACCCCCCCCCACAGCCCGGTCCCCCCCTCCAACCCCACCCCCCAACCCTCAGCCGGGCCCCCCTCCCCCCCGCAGCCAGGCCGCCCCCTCCCCTCTCCAGGCCACTGGAGGTCACCTCTGCCCGCCTCCCAGCCGAGCCTTCAGGGGGACGCTGGGAGGGGGGAGGGGCCGGTCATCTGGGACGGACAGCAGGTGGGGGAGGTCCCACCGGGTCCCCAGCCCCTTGGGAGCTGGACCAGACCCCCAAGCCCCGCTCTGCCTCGTCCCCTGACCCCCAGCCCCTCCCTCCCTCTGACCCCTGACCCCCGCCCCCTTCTCTCCAGCGAACCAAGTGTTCCCCGAGGTGACGCGGCTGCTGACCAGCCACACGGGCACCACCAGCAACTCGGAGGACATCCTGGCCTCGGCCTGCTACACCGTGCGGAACCTGATGGCCTCCCAGCCCCACATGGCCAAGCAGTTCTTCTCCAGCGGCATGACCAACAACCTGGTCAACCTGTGCCGCGGCAGGTGCGCCCGAGCCCGCCCTGTCCCGCTCCCCGCTCCCCGCCGGCTCCCTGCCCCCCCACCCCGCTCCCACCACCCTGTCCCCCCCCCTCCCGCTCCCCGCCGGCTCCCTGCCCCCACTCCCCGCTCCCCGCCCCCTCTCCCACTCCCCCCCTCCCCGCTCCCCGCCCCACCACCCGTCCCCCCCCTGTCCCTTCCCCGCCCCCCGTCCCGCTCCCACCGCTGGCTCCCCGCCCCCTTTCCCACTCCCCACCCTCCTCCCCGCCCCCTTTCCCACTCCCCACCCTCCTCCCCGCCCCCTTTCCCCCCCACCCCCACCTCCCCGACCTCACACTGCTCTTCCCGCCTGCGCAGCGCCTCCCCCAAGGCCGCCGAGGCCGCCCGGCTGCTGCTGACGGACATGTGGTCCAGCAAGGAGCTGCAGGGCGTCCTCCGGCAGGTACGAGGGGCAGGGCAGTGTCCGGGGTGAGACGGGGCTGGGGCCTCTCTGGAGGGGCAGGGGAGGCGGCGGCGGACCTGGACTCACCCCCGTCCCCCTCCGCCTGCCCCCGCAGCAAGGCTTCGACCGGAACATGCTGGGCGCCTTAGGCGGCCCCAACAGCCTCCGCAACTTCACCTCCCGGTTCTGAGGGGGCGGCCGGAGCAGGCTCGGCTCCCAGGTGAGACTCGGCCCCGCCCCCGGGTCAGGGGGGCCCCGGGGCCCGGCCAGCCTTAGGGCAAGCTCCCCGGGGGCACAGAGCACCTCGCCGGGGCGCCCCTGCCCTCATGGGGTCCCCCTGCCCTCACCGGGGTGCCCTCACCGGGGTCCCCCTGCCTTCCCCGGGGCACCCCTGCCCTCACCGGGGCGTCCCAGCCCTCATGGGGTGCCCCTCCTCACCCGCTGCCCCCCTCCCTCTGCAGAGACGACAGGACCCCGCAGGGAGGCCCTGCCGGCCGGGGGTCGGTCTGCCCACCTTGCAGTATTTGGACAAGGTCCAGCCACGGAGCGCAAACCGGGACCCGTGGCGGACGCAGATTCTTTTCCCCTTGGCGACGGGGGCTGGGGAGGGGGGGCTTTCCTGACATAAGCGAGCTTTTTCCGATGTCCATACTCCCTTTGCTGAGAAATGGTATATATATATGTGTATAACGTGTGTGCGTGTGCACGTGTGTGTGCACGTGTGTGTGCACGTGTGTGTGCGTGCGTGCGTGTGTGTGTGTGCGTGCGTGTCTGAGTGCCTGTGAGCTCGGCCTTGAACCGCAGGCACCAGGCAGCTGTCTGGTGCGGCTCCGAGCCGGCGAGGAGGCTCTCCCGTTGCTTACCCTGTGCTTGGTGAGCGCTGCCCCTGGGGTTCCCCCGGGGTCCCCCCGGGGCCCTGCAGGGGGGCCTCGCCCGGGGCAGCCCTCCCCCGCTCTGAAGGCTGCTGGGCAGGAAGGAGGGGGCTGGGTGGTGAGGTCCGCGGGTCTCCTGGGGCCGGCTGGCTGCAGAGCCCAGGACTGGGTGGGGCAGGGGCGGGACCCGGGACGCAGGCAAGGACAGCCGCCTGGTTCGCTAGGTGGGGTCTCTCCCAGGGGAGTGGGGCCCGGGGAGAGGGGGTTCCCGGTCCGTGGGCTCAGCCTGTGAGTGTCATTCTCGCCTCCGGGCGCCCCCTGATGGAGAAAGATGGGAAAGGGGGCTGGGCCAGGGGATGACGGGCTGTTTGCCCTCAGCTGCCCTGTGGGGAGGGGCTAGCTGGGCCCGGACAGGGGCATTGAGAGACTCCCAGGAGGTTACGTCCCACCACACCTGGGTGCCTGGGAGACTCGAGTGAGGGAGGGTGTGGGGTTCGAGCCACAGGGAGGAAGGGAGGAATAGACCAGCAAAGGGACTGACCCCTCAGGCCCCCGCCGTCCCCTGGGCCCCAGCCGGCCGACTCCACTCCAGCGGGACAGAGGGAGGCCGCCCGGGGCGCCTGCCACCCCAAGACCCCACTTCGCATGCATTTCAGCCGCACGGCCTCCTGGGAAGAGCTGGCTGCAAACCGGCCTCGGAGGGCCGTGGCCGGGGCGGACCACAGGGGCCCGGGAGGCAGGGCCTCGGCAGGCAGCCACGGGGCCGTGTCCTCCTCTGGACCCTGAGCCCGGAGCCTGGCGGAGGTGGGCGGCTGGGGTGCGGGGGCCGGGCGGGGCGGGGGCAGGGGTGCTGGGAGCTGTCCGGCGCCCTCGTCCCCGGCTCCCTGTGGGTGTGAGAGCTCCATGCCCGCCTGGCCGGGCCCCGTTCGCCTGTGTGATACGCTATGTATTTGCTTTTTGGAAATCAATAAACCGCTGGCATGTCTGTAGGCTCTCCAAGCTGTGGATTATTTGGGGGTGCCTGGAGGACCCTTCCTGGCCATCACCCCCCCCCTCCGACTGACCCCTGAGCCAGGCAAGGACCGAGAGTGACCCTGTAGGGACAGGGAGGCCACCACACACACCCCTGCTCTGTGTCCGGGGTCCACGGGTCCCCCAGGAGGCTGGTGGCACCCCAGCCTTCCAGACGAGGGAGCGGAGTGCAGGGAGGAAGCACTGTGCCCCACAAGGCACCCAAGGGGAAAGAAGCTTCCGGGGTAGCAGGCACCCCAGTTCCTACATGAGAACACGGAGCCCCAGAAGCAGAGAGTGACCTGCCCAGTCCCGGCCGGTGTGGCTCCGTGGATAGAGCGTGGGCCTGCTGACCCAAGGGTCCCAAGTTCGAATCCCGGCCACCCCGCCTGCCCAGGTGTCCCCGATGGATCCCCAGTAGGGGGCATGCAGGAGGCCGCCGATCAGGGATTCTCTCTCACCACTGATGTTTCCATCTCTCTCTCCCTTCCTCTCTGACATCAATTAAAAAATAAATAAAAGGGAGAGATCAACCAAAGGACTTGTGTGCACCCATATGAGCCTCACCAGCGGTCAAGCACAAGAGGGGGGTGAGGGCGTGAGTGGGGTGGGGGTGGGAGATCGGAATGGGGGGGTTGAGGACAAATATGTGACACCTTCATCAATAAAGAAATTTTACAAAAAATAAAACCAAACACATAAACATTTCTAACATCTTAAAAAATAAAAAGGAAGGCCCTGACTCGGCTGCAGTTAGAGAATGTGTGTAAGGGACTCGGCACGGCCCCTGGCACACAGTAGGGCAAGCAGCGCGCACAGTAGGGCTAGCTGGCGGCAGATGTGGGGCCGGAGGGGGTCCCTGTGTCACGTTCAGCGTGGGGGGGGATTCTTTTTGTCCTTTCACCCCCAGCAGCAACCGAGGGACCCCCTGCCTCGTGGGTCCCCGTGGCCGTGGCCGTGGCCGTGGCCGGCTCCTCTGGGGAACTGGCAGGAGAGGGCGAGGAGGGTGGGGACAGGACAGGGATGAGGCCGCTTATACTCAGCAGGTCTCTCTGATCCCCGTCAGTGCGTGTGGCAGCCGGCAGTGTCAGCACAATCTCAGCCCAGAGCCGCCCGGGACCGCACCCCCCTCCCACGCCCTCCACCCAGGTTCCTGGAAAGCAGCCCCAGCCCTCCTCTCCCAATCCCGCTTCCCGCACCCCAGAAACCTCCTTCAGCTGTGCCCTGCCCGGGCCTGATTTACGGGGAAGCTGCTTTGGGATCAGGGTGCGGGGAGGGTGCGGCTGGTGTGGCAACAGTCTCCTCAGTGGCCGGCAGTTGGCACCCCCACAGCGGCTGGGCTTGGGGAGGGAGGGGGGAGCCAGTGGGCGGGGACAGGAGGGAGGGAGGGTGGGCGGGGCCCTCAGACCTGGTTTCTGGAGGGTGCTGCCTGTGGAACCCACGGACGTTCAGGGGGTACCCCCCCCCCCAAAGCCTTCAGGGCGATCAGGGACAGGACGGGAGAGGTAGGATTCCAGGGAGGGCGGAGGGGCGTTCCGGGTTAGGGAACACGGGGACACGGCTCCGTGGCCCGCCCTGCCCTCCGGCCGGCTCCCACCCAGCCCGGGGAGAGACGGGGACGCGCCCCACCCACCCTCCCCAGAAACCGGCTGTGGAGCCAGGGTGGGGCCGCCTGGAGTGGGTGCTGCCTCCTGGGTGCCGCCCTGGCATGGACGGGGCAGCCGCGGGCGGGGACTGGGCTCTGTCCTCCTCACGCTCGGGACCCCTTTTCCCCGCGGCCTGGTCTCCCCTGGACGGGCCCTGGGCCCCGGGAGCTGGCCAGGTGAGGGGGGCTCTCCCGTCCCCATCCCCCCTCCAGGTGAGACAGGAACGTGACGACGCCCCAGCCCCGTGGGGGCCAAACTGCGGCTGGAGAGCCACCTGCGGCTCTCGGGCCCCCGGAGGGCGGCTCTCCCACAGAACACCGCGGCCCGGGCGGGTCTGTGTGGGAGAAGCGGCGTCAGAAGGAGCTTACGTTTAAAAAACGTGGCTCTCCAGAGACACGTCCGTCGTGGTGCTGTTGGCATTTGGTTCTGTGGACGGAGCAGTTTGCCGACCACGGCCCTAGCCAGTGTGGCTCAGTGGATAGAGCGTCGGCCTGCGGACTGAAGGGTCCCGGGTTCGATTCCGGTCAGGGGCATGGACCTTGGTTGGGGGCACATCCCCACTGGGGGGCGTGCAGGAGGCAGCTGATCGGTGTTTCTCTCTCTCATCGATGTTTCTAACTGTCCCTCTCCCTCCCTCTCTGTAAAAAATCAATTTTACAAAAAGGTGTATTTGTGATAAGAAAGTTTTAGATTTAAAAAAAAAAAAATTTTTATTAAATAAAATAAAAAATCAATGGGAAAATATCCTCGGGTGAGGGCGAACAAAAAACACATGAATAAAATATAAAATAAAATAAAATAAAATAAAATAAAATAAAATAAAATAAAATAAAATAAAATAAAATAAAATAAAATAAAATATAAAACAAAATATAAAAATAAAATAAATATAAAATAAGAACGGACAGCAGTGCATTGGGTGCTCCTTGCCTTTATTCCCGGTGTGGTGGTGTGGGTATGTGGGTGCAGCCGTGTGTGGCGGTGGCCAGTGGGCCCCCCCCCCCGTACCCAGCCAGGACCTGCTCCCACCCCGCCCCCCCATGCCGGGAGGGCTGGGCGCTGGGGGCCTGCAGGCGGCAGGACTTGGCTGGGAGCAGGTCGGGCCTTCACTTCCAGCGTCCGGTGACCTTGGCCTTCCCTCGGGTCTTGGAGCTGAGGGAGACGCAGGACCCGTCAGAGGGGCCGCGGGCAGGGCGGGGGGTCTCCCGGGGTGGGTGCTGAGGGTGTGAGGGTGGCGGGGGCGGCCTGGGCGGGCAGCGGCCCGGGGCGAGGGGACAGGGAGGGCCTGGAGGCCAGAGGCAGAGGCCTGGGGGCTGGGCCCGGCGGAGGGAGGAGGCGGGGCCGGAGACTCACACTTTCTGGTTGTCATTGATTCGGTTCCGGAGCACGTTGATCTGCAGGACACAGGGGCGTGGGGGGGGGGGGGGAGCAGAGTCACCTGGGAGCCCCTGTGGCTCACGGCCCAGGTGGCTGGTGGGGAGGGGGGAGGGGGGTCCCAGCCCAGCAGCAGGTGGACCGGCTCCCACCAGGGGGCGCCGGGCTGGGGAGGGGCGCGGGGGCGGCGGGGGGGGGGGGGGGCAGGCTCACCTCGTACTTCTGCTGCTTGAACTTTTCCTGCAGGTCGAACTTCTCAGCCTCCAGGTTGTAGATGCATTGCCACAGCTCCTTGGCCTTCTCCCTGCAGGGGGTTGTGGGGTGGGGGGGTGGGGGAGCCAGAGTGGAGGTTGGGGGGCTGAGGACACTACGGACGGGCCCCTCATCAGCCTTCACCCTCATCCTGACCCCGGGCCCCCCGGGGCCTCAGACTGCCTGCCACCTGCCCACCTGCCCACCTGGCCCAGCCGGGGGCCCCGAGAGCAGGTGCCCAGGACACGGGGGAGAAGGGGGAGCCCTCTGTCCTTGGGGAGCATCTGGCTCGGCCCCCTCCCCACCACCTGAGTGCAGAGGGCGAGGGGAGCCGGGCAGGTGAGCTGCAGGAGCTGCTGCAGCTGCGGGCGCCAGGCCCGGGGAGGATGCGCGGGGCGGCAGCGCCCCCTGGCGGCCGCACCTCAGCTGGTCCTCGTTCAGGTGGTCGATGGCCAGCACCTTCCTCCTCTCGGCCAGAATCTTCTTCTTCTTCTCCCGCTCCGTCTGCCGCTTCCCGCTCCGCTTCTCCGTCTGGAGGGGACGGGGCGCTCGCCAGAGGACATCCCCTCCCCCTCTCGTTCCCCATCCCCCGATCCCCCCAAAAATAAAATAAATAAGAACCCAGTGGGGACCCATTGCTCACCCCGCAGCACCCAGCCCAGCCCTGCCCGGATTCCCCCAGGAAACCGAGGCCGCCCCCTCCCGGACGAAAAGGGTCATGGGGGTCACCCCGTCCCATCGCTCCCCCCCCAGGGAGCACCCCCAAAACGGAGAGGAGGATTCGTACCCACCTGCGCCTGCTAAACCAGGGAACCATGACAGACAGAGCCAGAGAGAGAGGCGGAGGAGGTGGGACAGAGACAGAGAGAGGGCAGGCAGGCGGCGGAGGGCGGAGGGCCCCGCGGGGAGAGAGAGGGACAAGGAGACGGTGACTCAGACGCGGTCCCTGGCCAGAGGTGACGGGGACGGGGTGGGGGGCTGAGGGGACAGGGTGGACCCCCTCAGCCAGAGCCAGAGTTTGGCCGTGTGGTCCCTGCGGGGCAGAGCGGGGAGGCGGCCCCGGTTCTGAGCTGGACAGTCCCCTCCTCCCATGGGGACGGGCGTGGGGCGTGGGAGTCAGGGATGGGGCTGAGCTTCCAGGAATAAGCCGCCTCCCCAGGGTGGGCCCCCTTGGCCGCAGACCATGTTAATCCCATTTTACAGATGAGGAGACTGAGGCCCCACACAGCGGGCTCCAGCCAGAGTCTCCAGCCGGAGCTCTGAGCCTGGGCACAGGGCATGCCCGCGGTATGCAGCCTGCGTGGCCGGGGGGTGAGGGTGGGGGGTGACAGGTGGGGTGGGAGGAGGAGGGGGGCTCTTGGGGGTGGATGAAGGGGGTAGGGGGGGCCAAGCTCGCCCACAGCCCCGATCCCACAGGCCCCTGCAGGGAAGCCCCACCTGCGGGTGCTGCAGGGCTGGGGAGGAGGCTGCAGTGTCCCCCTCAGCAGCTGGGAAGTTCCCCCTGGACCCTGGTCTCCGGGATCCCTCTGCCCCCAGGACGCCTGCTGCCCCGCCCGCCTCGTGCTGCCCCGCCCTCTTCCTGGGTGCCCCGCCCACCTTTTGGCTGTGGCCCCGCCCCTCCTGGAGGCCCCGCCCATCGCCTGGCTGTGAAGTCCCGCCCCTTTCAGTGTGAAGCCCCTCCCCTCCCAGGTGTGATGCCCGCCCCTCCTGGAGACCCCGCCCCTCTGGGTGTGAAGCTCCGCCCTCTAGGAGGCCCCGCCCATCTTCTGGATGTGTCGCCCCGCCCCTCCCGGAGACCGCGCCCCTCTGGGTGTGAAGCTCCGCCCCGGAGGCCCCGCCCACCTTCTGGATGTAGCCGCCAAAGTGCATCATGTTGGACAGCGCCTTCTTCTTGCGGGCGTCGTCCTCCGCGCGCCGGCGGCTCTCCTCCTCCTCCCGCCGGGCCCGCTCCTCCTGCCGGCGGCGGGGGCGGGAGGCGGCAGTGAGGGATGGGGGGCCCTGGACCCCGGCTCCGGGCTTTCTCCGCGGGGCTGGAGGGTCCCCGCCGGGGCCTGGCCCGCCCTCAGGTGGGTGGGTGGGTGGATGAGGGGATGGATGAGTGAATGGATGGATGGATGGATGGATGGATGGATGGATGGATGGATAAATGGATGGGTGGGTGGATGGGTGGGTGGATGGATGGTTGGATGGATGGGTGGGTGGGTGGATGGATGGATGGGTGGGTGGGTGGATGGGTGGATGGGTGGGTGGGTGGGTGGATGGGTGGGTGGATGGGTGGATGGATGGGTGGATGGATGGGTGGGTGGATGGATGGGTGGGTGAATGGATGGATGGATGGATGGATGGATGGATGGGTGGATGGATGGGTGGATGGATGGGTGGATGGATGGGTGGGTGGATGGATGGGTGAATGGTTGAATGGATGGATGGATGAGTGGATGGATGAGAGAATGGATGGATGGGTGGATGGGTGGATGAGTGAATGGATGGGTGGATGGATCGATGGATGGATGAGTGAATGAGGCTGACTCGGAGCGGGCGCAGGAGCTGGGGTTTGGGGGGGGGGTGCCTCGGGGGGAGGGGGCCCGGGGCGGGCGCTCACCGCCAGGCGGTTCTGCCGCTCCTTCTCCCGCTCGCTCCGGATGCGCTGTTGCTCCGCGCGCTCCGCCCTCCGCTTCTCCTGCGGGGAGAGGAGGGGAGAAGAGGGGAGAGGGGGGAGGGGGAGAAGGGGAAAGGGGGGACACAGGAACCCGCGGGGACCCCCCAAGCCGGGCCCTGGCTGCTCTCGGCTCCACCCCCCAAGGCTGCTGGGGGAGACACGGGGCCCCGGGACGCCGAAGGGTGGGGCTCCTGATGAGGAGGGGCCCCCGGGGGCCTGCCTGGAGGAGGCGGGGCCTCCCGGAGGGGTGCGGAGGGGGAGGGGCCTCCCGGAGGGGTGCGGAGGGGGCGGGGCCTCCCGGAGGGGTGCGGAGGGGGAGGGGCCTCCCGGAGGGGTGTGGACGGGGAGGGGCTGCGGGGGGGCACCTACGATCCTGTCCTTGAGCGAGATGAGCTCCTCCTCCTCCTTCTTCCGGTTCTCGAAGTGGGCCTCGATCAGCGTCTGCAGCTCGTTCAGGTCCTTCTCGATGCGCTTCCGGTGGATGTCCTGGGGGGCGGGGCTCCAGGGAGGCCGGGCAGGCACCCGCCCCCGCCCGCCCGAGGCCGCAGGGCCTGGGGCCTGGGGCCTGCACCCAGGACAGTGCCAGCCTGGCCCGGGCTGGACCGCCCCACCCCTGTGCCATCTTCCCGCAGCCCAGAGGGGGGTCTCCCTCCCTCAGGGGGGCGCTGCCCACCACCCCGCCCAGGCCTGCCCTCCCCGCAGCCCCACTCACGTCAAAGTCCACCCTCTCTCCGTCGGGGATCTTGGGGGGCACCAGGTTGGGCATGAAGGGCCTGGGGCGAGGAGGAGGATGGAGCTGGGTATGGGGCAGGCCGCCCCCCGCCCCCGCAGAGCGTGGCCCCCTCTGGCCACTCACTCGGACCCGGAGCGCCCAGGGCCCTCACGGGTCATCTCTCTCCGTCCTCACTGCCCAGCGAACCCCAGGTGGAGCCCTCCCAGGGGGAACCCGTGGCTCCCAGAAGCAGTGACCCGCTCAGAGCCGGGCCCCCGGGGAGTGGAGAAGGGGGACCCTGTGGGGGCCTCACAGACTCGCCCGGGAGCCAGAAGACCTGCGGTTTGGCCCCCCTCCCTGCTGGCCCTCTGCCCCATGGGCCCCACACACGTGACCTCCTCACCTGGGCTTGGGCTTGGACTCCCCGACGGGGCCATCTGCAGAGACACACACAGCCGGGGGTCAGGGGCCCTGGACCTGGCCCAGCTCTGTCCCGAGGGGCTGGGGTCCGAGGGCTTCGGTCTCCTCCAGCCCGGGACTCCCAGGCCCAGGAGCGCCCCAGGGGCGTGGCTTTCCTCCCCATTGGCGTGGCTTTCCCTCCAGGAGGCGTGGCTTTTCTCCCCTGGGCGTGGCTTCCCTCCCAGAGGCGTGGCTGTCCCTCCAGGAGGCGTGGCTTCTCTCCAGGGGCGTGACCTCCCTCCCCAGGGGCCTGGCTGTCCCTCTGGGGGCGTGGCTTCCCTTTCCCAGGGGTGTGGCTGTCCCTCCCCAGGGGCGTGGCCTCCCTTCCCGGGGGCGTGGCCTCCCTCCTCGGGGGCGTGGCTGTCCCTCCCCCAGGGGCAGTGTCTCCAGATTGAGGGGCAGAGGCCTGGAGCCCAGCGCCCCAAACCCGCATGGTCACCACGTCTGTCCAGTCCCCTGAGCCCTCCCCCCGCCCCGCTCCCCGGAGCCGCCTCCCTCAGGGCAGGGTCCCCCCGCAGCCCAGCCCTCCGTCCTCACCTTCAGCCTCTTTCACCTCCTCCTCTTGTCTGTCGTCTGAACAGAACGAGAAACGTTAACCGCGTCCTAACCCTAAGCTCAGGGTCCCCCTTGCTTAACACCCCCCCGCACCCCCTCCCCCGCACCAGGGCCCACCTTCCGCGCTGGTCTGGGCCTGCGCCTCGGCCTCGGCCTCGCCCTCGGCCTCCTCCCCCGCCGCGGCCTCCTCCACGGCCTCCTCCTCCGCGGCCTCCTCCTCGGCGGCCTCCTCCTGCTCTGGGGGACAGGCGGGGGGGGGGGGGCACAGTGGGTGCCGGGCCGCCTGCGCCTGCAGCCCCGGGGCCAGGAGGGCGGGTGTGGGGGCCACAGACCCGAGCCCCAAGCTTGGCCCGTGTTTCCTTAAGTAGCGCAGCCGCTCACTCAGGCCCCGAACGGCTGCAGCCAGGGGAGCGGCCACGACCCACAATAGTCCCTCCCGCCCGGCGCCTGGCGGAGGGCGGCCAAGGTCAGGCGGCCAAGGTCAGGCGGCCAAGGTCAGGCGGGGCCTGTGCAGGAGCCAGGGCAGTGGGAAGGGGGGAGGAGACAGGGAAATCTCGGCTCCTGGGGTTCCCCCCGCCCCACGCCCTGACCCCTCCCTCAGCCCAAGCCCCTACCTCCCACAGCTGCTTCTGCTCGGACCAGGCCACGGCCACGAGAAGGGAGACAAGAGGCGGGTCAGTTTCAAACCGGGCGGCCCTCCATCCGTCCCCGGAAATGAGGGTACAGGCGTGCGCTTACCTTCCTGCTCCCTGCAGCGCGGAGGGGATGGGGTCAAAGATGTGCGTGTGCACACACACACTCACACACACTCACACACACACTCATACACACTCACACACACTCACACTCACACACACACTCATACACACTCACACACACACACACACCCATCCACCTGCCCCCAGGGCGGCCCCAAGGACAGGTGGGACAGGGGCAGGTGGAGGGGGGCAGGGTATTCTGACACTCACCCCTCGTACTCCTCCACCTCTTCCGCGTCGGACATGGTCTCTCTCTTTCCCTCCCTCCAAAAAAAGAGAGATGTCAGTGTGGGCCCAGGGGACCCGCTTCCTGGGACCGGCAGGGGGAGGAAGGCCGTGGCTGCAACAGTATCCATATCCCAAGTGTGGCTTTGCAACATTGTTGCAGAAATATTACCATTTCTATATTTCTAATTCTATTACCATTTCTGCAACCATGTTGCAAAGCACACACCCTGGAGCAGCCTCGTTTCTGACAAATGCTGGTCCCTCAGGCGTCCCCAGGCCGGGTGAGGAGTCTGTGGCCCCCGCTCTGCCCGGGACCCCGGGGAGCAGCCAGTCTGGTGGCTTAGAACTGGGGAGGCTGCTCCCCAAGCTGGCAGAGTTTGTCATCCCCGCTGGGAGGGGGTGGTGCTGGGCTAGCCGGGGGCACAGGATCTCAGCGTCTCTCTCCTCTCCTGCCCCACCTCCCCCCTGCTCGGAGCCCTTGCCTGGGGTGCAGAGGAAGAGGGAGCCCTCCCTGCTCCCCAGAGCCCCACCGGCTCCCCAAAATAGCACGCCAGCCCCCCCTCCACCCCCGGAAGGTGGGGGAGGGCTCTCAGACCAGGATGCAGCCGGGCCCTTGGCCCCAAGGCCGGACAGAAGAGGAGGCTGGGGCAGGCTGAGCCGGGGCTCGGGCCTGGGAGGCAATCAGAACCTCGCCCCGTGCAGGTGTGATAATGTCCCCAAACCCCTTCTCCCCCCCTCCTCCGCCCCTCCTGCCCCACAGCCCAGAACTCAGGGTCCGAGTCCTTGGGGACGGAAGCCAGAAGAATACTGGCCGTGAGGCCCAAAGGTGGGTTTTGAAAACCCAGTCTTTGCTGTGTGACCTTAGCTCAGCCTCGGTCAGCCAATCTGTAAAATGGACGCGCCCCGAGGTCTAGTCCTGAGGAACAGCTGAGCTTCTGAGGAATGCAGCCCTTGTCCCCGACAGACACAGCTGGGACAGCCCTCCCTGCAGCTGTCAGCCTTCCCTCCCCCCCCCCCACCCCAGGAGCCAGGGGGCAGGGCATAGGCGGGGGCGGGGGGGGGCGGGGGCAACTTGATCCTCACAAATGCCCCCTCTGCCCCAGAGGAAGCCTCAGGAATGCGGGTGAAATTCCTGACCTTCGGGGCAATCCCCTCCCGCCACCCCACTCCCACCCCCGAATATTTTCTATATTTTCTCCGCGGGCGCAGGAGAAGCTGGAAACGAAGGGGATCCTTCCCTGCGGGCATGTGGGGGGGTGGGGGCGAGGGGAGCTGGACTCAGGGGGGACCCTCTAGCCCACCCGCTGGGCTCACACGCCGTGACCTGACCCCCCTCCCCGCCCGGCTCCCTGGACCACCTCTCCCGGAGGCCTGGCCCCTGGTGGAGGGAACTCGGACCTCCGTGCACTCCCACGGACGAGGCAGAGCCGGACGGACGGACGGACGGACGGAGGGGCCGGGACGCCGGCCGGTGCCCTCCACGCTTCTCTGCCTCAATGCCCCCACCCCCACCCCCACCGTCTTACCTCCGCACAGGAGCTGCGGGCAGCACAGAACGAGGTGCCTGCTCCGCGGGGCAGGGACTGGGCAGGCGAGGGCAGGGCGGGCAGGGCTATAAGCTGGGGGGACGGGGGGCTGGGCCTCCGGAGCGGAGGAATGTGGGGGGCGGGGTGTTGGGGGAGCGGAGGAATGTGCGGGGTGGGACGCGGCGGGGGGGGGGGTGGTGGGGGCTCGGTCAGCAGGTGCCCGGGTCGGGACGGCTGGTGCTCGGACCATATAAGCCCATGAGGTGGTCCGGCTGCGGCCGGCCGGTCTATTTAAAACCCGACAGGTCTGCCGGCGACAGGAGCCAGCCGTCCCGCTGACAGGCCGATAGGGCCGGTGCCAGAGCCGGCCTGGGCCGGGGGCTGGGACTGGGGGGCGGGGCGGGGGGCCAGAGGCCAACCCACAGCACTCCCGAGGGTCCGAGGGCCACGGCGTTCTCCAGGCTGCCCCCCCTGCTGCCCCTCCCCGCCCAGCGGCCTGCTCGGACCCCCGGCTGCAGCCCGGGAGGGTATTCATCTGTGACCCCAAGCCCCTCCCCGCCCCCCTCCCCCCGGGAGGGCCCCACGGGAGGTCAGGCGGGGAGAGCGAACTGGCAGGGAGCGATGGCCCCGGGACAGGCGGCCGGTGCGTGGGGGCCGCTGCTCCCCTCTAGGGGTTAAAATAAAGCTCCCCAGCCGGTGTCGCTCAGGTCAGGGTTCGATTCCCGGTCGGGGCACAGGCCCCGGTGGCGGGCTTCGTCCCCGGGGTGGGGCGTGCAGGAGGCAGCCGGTCTGTGATGCTCTGTCATCATGGACGTGTCTCCCTCCCTCCCTCCCTCCCTCCCAGGAATCAGTGAGCCTCTGTTTGTAAATAATAATTAAATGAAGCTGTGATCTGCTGAGCCTGCTGGGCCCTGAGACCGGGCCGGGCCGGCTCCTGCTGTCGGCGGCCGCTGGTCAGGAGGGACGGGCCCTGCCCCCAGCCCTGGCCCCGCGGCCCCAGCTGCTTTTTAATAATTTTTATCGACTGTCCAGGAGGCTGGCTTGGCCCAGGACCTCCACGCGCCAGGGGCCACGGCGCTGGGACGGAATGGGGAGAGTGTGTGTGCGGGGCTGGCAGGTCTGCCCCCAGAATCACGACGGAGCACGATAGGACGCAACCCACCTTCGTGTGAGGAAAACGATGATGGGCCCCCCCCCCAGCCACAATAATCCAAACGCACCCCTCCCCCCATACCACACACATACACACACCACACACACACACTTATAAACACACACACCACACATACACAGCCCCACACACATACACATACACACACCACACACCATACACACTCATAAACACACATCACACACACACACACTCATAAACACACACACCACACATACACAGCCCCACACACATACACATACACACACCATACACACACACACTCATACACACACACACACACACCACACACACACTCATAAACACACACATCACACATACACAACCCCCACACACATACACATACACACACCACACACCATACACACTCATAAACACACATCACACACACACACACACACACACACTCATAAACACACACATCACACATACACAGCCCCACACACATACACACCACACACCACACACACTCATAAACACACTCATACACACACACATCACACACACTCATACACACACACACCACACATACACAGCCCCACACACATACACATACACACACCACACACCATACACACTGATAAACACACATCACACACACACACACACTCATAAACACACACACCACACATACACAGCCCCGCACACATACACACACACACACACACACACACACACACACCCGTGCAGATGCCCTTAGAAGGGAGCCTGGGGAGGGGCTGCGGGCTCGGTCACAGACACCTGAGTGAGTTTATTGGCGGCTCCCAGCTGAGGGGCAGAGGCGGGGCTGCTGCAGGGGTGAGGGCGGGCGAGGCGGCGGGAGGGCGGGGTCTGCGCAGGGACCAGCGAGGGGCCGGGGCGGGGAGGGCGGGCTGGGGTGGACGGATTCGGGGGGCTGGGGGCCCGGCTCGGTAGCAGCGGGAGCCGGAGACACCCCGGGGACAGCACCCACAGGCGAGGGCGGACGGCCGGGCGCGGCGGTGCCCGCGGTGGGCGGAGACGGGGCTGGCACCCGCCGGGCGGCCTGAGAGGGAAGGAGCCGCCAGACCCCAGGCCCCGAGGCAGAAAGGTGAGGCAGCAGGAGGCGAGGGCGCAGCTGTGGACGGACGGACGGACGGACGGATGGACGCAGGCCTGGCGCGAGGGAGGCGGGACTTCAGCTGCCGCTCATGTCACACCTGCAGGACAGACCTGTCAGCGAGGGAGGGTGCTGGGGGGGAGGGGTGTGCACAGGAAGGCACACCCTCACCCACACCCACACCCCCATCCCCGTTTCTCAGGCCCCTCACCCACCCGCATCTGCCCCCACCCCCCACTCACATACCCACACCCCCACATCCTCACCCTCACCCTCACCCACACCCCCATACCCGTACCTCAGCCCCTCACCACCCACACCTGCCCCCACACCCCCACTCACATACCCTCACCCACACCCACCCAGGCCCAGCCCCTCGTCTGTGGGGCTGGAGGGAGCAGAGCCCTCAGGGATAAGGGGGTGCAGCCAGCTGGGCCTCTGCCAGGGCTTGTGGTTGGGGCGCCCCAGCCTGACAGCAGGACCAAGGCATTCTGGGTACTCGGACTGGGCGACTGCAGGCCAGTTAGTGTGTGGGGGCCGGGGCCGGGGAGGGGCGGGCGAGGGGCGGGCCGGGGCAGGGCGGGGCAAGCGAGGGGTGTGGGGCGTCCCCTCCGCCCCCCTCACCTCGGCATCCAGGGTGGAGCTCTCTCTCTTCGCCCAGGAGGTCCGATTGGCGGCCGCCGCCTCCTTCTTCGCCTCCTGCTTGGGCATCGGGAGGGGAGAGGGACTGAGGGGCCTGCAGGGGGGCTGCGGCCCCGCCCTTCCCCGTCCAGCCGGCCCCTCTCTCTGCGCCCCCCCACCCCACCCACAGGCCTCTGCCCAGCCCCTCCACCCTCCCCTGGAAACCCCTTCACCCTGGGCCCCCGACCCCTCCTTCCGCCGCCCCCGCCCGCGGTCAGGGGCCGGGCCGGGCCGTACCGGGGGGTCCGGGTCCCCCGACTCCTGAGTCCGGCTGATCCACAGGTTGAGCCGCGAGGTCACCACCCCCGAGAGCTGCAGGTTGTCCTGGAAAAGGGGCTCCGTCAGGGGGGGGCAGGACAGGGCCCCCCATACCCCCCAGCAGCCCCCCATAGCCCTGAGGGTCACTGACCCCCCCTCCACCCCCACCACCCCCGGGAGCTGCAGGGACCCGGGTTCAGGACCCAAACGGTGACTCAGGTCAACAGCAGCTTCGGCCAAACTGGACACACGCACCCCGGCCAGTTGGCTCCGTGGTGGAGCGTCGACCTTTGACCCAGGAGATCAGGGTTCGATTCCCATCAGGGCGCAGGCCCGGGGTGCGGGCTGGGTCCCCAGGGGGGGGCGTGCAGGAGGCAGCGGGTCCATGACGCTCCCTCCTCACGGATGTTTCTCTTTCTCCCTCCCTCTCCCCCCCCTTCCTCCCCGAGACCCACAGGCACGTCCCTGTGTGCGGCCTCACCCTGCGGCTGGCGGGCTCGGCCCGGCCGGGCTCCCGGCCCCCCGGGCCCCCCAGCTCCTTCTCGAACAGGTGCCGCCGGCTGGCCACGCCCACGGGCGCCACGAAGACCTCCGTGCGGGCGGCGCCGGGGGCCTTGACTGACACGGAGCGCTGGGGGGGGGAGGGGAGAGAGAGAGAGAGAGAGCGCGCGCGGCTGAGCGGGCGGCGCCCGGAGGCCGGGCAGCCCACACCCAGCCTCCCCGTCCCCCTACCCGTCCCCCTCCCCCTCACCACCCCTGTCCCCCTCACCGTCCCCTCACCGACCCCCTCCCCCTCCCCCTCCCCCTCCCCGTTCCCCTCCCATCACCGTCCCCCTCCCCGTCCCCGTCCCCCTCCCCCTCTCCCTCCCCCTCCCCTCCCCTCTCTCTTTCCCCCTCCCCCTCCTCATCCCCTTCCCTCTCCCCCTCCCCCTCACCGTCCCCCTCACCGTCCCCCTCCCCCTCCCCCTCACCGTCCCCCTCCCTCTATCCCTCCCCCTCCCCGTCCCCCTCCCCCTCACCGCCCCCCTCCCCCTCCTCTTCCCCCTCCTCCCCCCCACCCCTCCCCTTCACCACCCCTCCCCTCCACCGCCCCCTTCCACTCACCGTCCCCCTCCCCCCTCCCCCCACCGTCACCTCCCCCTCCCCTCCCCTCCCCCTCACCGTCCCCATCCCCCTCACCTTCCCCCTCCCCCTCCCCTTCACCGTCCCCTCCCCCTCCCCTCCCCTCAGGGCCCCCACCCCCCGCCCTGCCCCGCCCCCACCTGGATGGCCGTGTGGTATCGCTCCAGCTTCTCGCCTAACTTCACCGGGAGCCGCACGCTGGCACTGCCGGCGGAAGGACGGGTGAGCGGCCAGGTGAGGCCCTGCCCCTGCCCCCGCAGACCGGGGTGCGCACCTCCATCCCGGGCGAGGCTCCAGCGGCCCCGCCTCCCCTCCCCGCCCCTCCCCGCCACGGCCCCCTCCTCTGCTCCGGACCGTGTTCCCCGAGCTCGACCTGGCAGGCTGGTCACCTCCCCCCGCCCCCCGGGCAAGAGGCACCCCACTTCCTGTCTGGAAATCGTGAGGTCCACTGGGAGTCAGCTGCTGCCCCAGACACAGCCCCCAGCCCCAGGGCCGACGCCTCCCCCTTCCTGTGTCCCACCCAGCCTCCCGGCCACGCTGGGGTCCTGGGTGAGAGCTTGGCCCCTGTGTGCCCCCCACCATGTGCCCTGGGGCTCGGCTAACAGGCTGACCGTGGCCGTGGCCCCCAAGCAGAGCCAGGCCCTCCGCCTCTGACCTGCGGGTGAGGGTGGACTCTGCGTTGTTGATCCGGGGACTCATCTGGGAGGAGAGAGAGACACTGATGAGCGTGGGTGGCAGGGGGTGTCCCGGGGAGGCCAGGGCCCCTCCAGGCCGGGGCCCCCTCACAGACACCTCCTCCTCCCCCCACCTCCCGCCCTGCACGGCTCGGCTCTCCGCCAAGCCCGTGACGGTCCCGCACACACCTGCCCCCAGCTGGCCAGTCTGGGGGGGGGAGCCTCTCCTTGGGCCCCGGTAGGTGTTTGGGGGGTACCTGCCGCCCCTGCGGCCCTGTCTGCCTCCCCACCCCCACCCCCACCCCCACCCCCACTGCTCATGAGCCCCGCCGAGCCCTCCCGCTTTCTTCCTGCAGTTCCCAATCTCTCCACCAGGTGGGGCTGCTAACGTGTGTCCATATACATCCGCCTCCCAGTGCCTCAGCCCAGCGGTCGGCAAACTCATCCGCCCACAGAGCCAAATACCAACGGCACAACGATGGGCATTCCTTTGGGGAGCCACGCTTTTTAAGCGTAAACTCCTAACGCCACGTCTTCCTCACAGACCCGCCCGGGCCGTGGTGTTTTTGTGGAAGAGCCGCCCTCCAGGGCCAAAGAGCCGCGGTTTGCCGACCACGGCCGCAACCTGCCCTCCTGTAACTCCGCCTCCTCTGCGGGGCGGGGGGGGGGGGCACTAGGGGAACCCCAAGGCCCGCTCTGTCCTCTGTGACAGGCTGGTGCCCGGGCCGGGCCCACACGGACCGGCCGGCGGGGTGCCCGCCGGAGGCTCACCCGGAAGGAGATGGTCCGGGGGCTGGACCTGCGGAGGGAGCTGCTGTAGGTGGTCCCGGCGGGCGAGAAGGCGTCGTCCTCCCCCTCCTCCTCCTCCTCCTTGCTGGGAATCTTCACCTGGACGAGGGGGCGCGTCACACAGGCCGGTCACCCCGCTGCCCTCCCCTGCAGGGCTGATCGCCCCCAACTGCCCTCCCCTGCAGGGCTGATCGCCCCCAACTGCCCTCCCCTGCAGGGCTGATCGCCCCCAACTGCCCTCCCCTGCAGGCCTGATCGCCCCCAACTGCCCTCCCCTGCAGGGCTGATAGCCCCCAACTGCCCTCCTCTGCAGGGCTGATCGCCCCATTGCCCTCCCCTGCAGGGCTGATCGCCCCCATTGCCCTCCCCTGCAGGCCTGATCGCCCCCATTGCCCTCCCCTGCAGGCCTGATCGCCCCCAACTGCCCTCCCCTGCAGGCCTGATCGCCCCATTGCCCTCCTCTGCAGGCCTGGTGCCTCCCAATTGCCCTCCCCTGCAGGCCTGATCGCCCCCAACTGCCCTCCCCTGCAGGCCTGATCGCCCCCAACTGCCCTCCCCTGCAGGCCTGATCGCCCCATTGCCCTCCTCTGCAGGCCTGGTGCCTCCCAATTGCCCTCCCTGGCCACCAAGGGCCCCGCCCCAACGGGGGGCAGCCCAGAGCCCAGGCTGCCACGGGACCCCCGGTGGCCCAGCCCGTCCAGGGAGCTGCGGGAGGAAGTGGGGGTCTGGGGGCAGGTCCTGGTCTGCCTCTGCTTCGGGAGGGGGACACGGCTCCCTGGAGCCCGGCCGCCGGGCCCAGCTGCTGGGGGAACTTCCGGGGGGGACCCCGAAATCCAGGGCCTGGGTGAGGGAGGATTCGCTCCCGTGACCCAGCGAATGCCCCTGCCCTGGGGTCCCCCTGTTCTGACGGTGACGGGGAGCAGGGAGAGAGAGAGAGGACACGGCCCCAGCCAGCCTGAAGCTGGGGGACGGGAGACGGCCAGGGAGCCACGGGCACCGGGGTAGGACTGGGGGCGGGGCTTCTGCCCACCTGGAGGGTGATGGGCGGGAGGCGGGAGGCCACGGTGCGAGGGGTGCACACCCCCGGCTCTGCGGAGGGCAGACGGCCGAGGACCCTGGCTCTCTGGCTCTCCCCGGCCACCGGCTGCTTTTCCTGGGCCTTCTCCTTGGGCTGAGGCTGCTCCTCCGGCCGAGGCTCATCCCCGGCCTGAGGCTTCTCCTTGGGCCGAAGCCGATCCTCAGGCTGAGGCTTCTCCTCGGGCTTCAGCTCATCCTCCGGCTGAGGCTTCTCCTTGGGACGGGGCCGATCCTGATGCTGAGGCTTCTCCTTGGGCTGCAGCTGCTCCTTGGGGTAAGGCTTCTCCTTGGGCCGAGGCTGCTCCCCAGGCTGAGGCTGCTCCTCCTTCTTCTTGGGCAGAGGCTTCTCCCGAGCCTGGGGCTTCTCCCGGGCCTGGGGCTGCTCCCGGGCCTGAGGCTGCTCCCCGGCCTGGGGCTGCTCCATGGTCCTCCTGGGGACCCGCGTTGTCTCGGAGACCCTCGCCCTCTCGAAGATCTGTGCTTTCTCCGACACCCGTCCCCGCTCCGGGCCCGCCGCCTTGCCCGGGGGGGCCTGCTGCTTCTCGGGGGGGCCCCCGCTGGCCGGCTTCGGCCCTCTCTCCCAGGCGTCCGTCTTGGCCAGCACCGACCTCCGCTCGGGGACGGGGGTCTCCTCCGGGCCCGGCCTCAGCTCCGGGGGCTTCTCCGGGCTGGGGGGCTGCTTCTCTGCGGCCGGGGGCTTCTCCGGGACCCCCCTCCGCCTGGCCCCGGGCTCTCCCCGGGGGGCCACGCCCTCCTCCGCCGGGGCCCGCGGTGCCTGCTGTTCCCGGCTCAGTCTGCGGGGCGCGGGGCTGAGGGACGGCCGGGCGGCCTGCCCGGGGCCCGGGCTGTCCCCTGCGCCCTCCGGGGCCTCCAGCCGCTCGCCCAGGGGGGCCCGGGCGGCCTCCGCGCCCTGCCGCCGCTGCCGCCGCTCCCTCCGCGTCCTGAGGATGGCCTGCACCGCCTCAGCCTCATCCTCGGGGTCCGCAGGCGGCGGTGCGGGCACCTCGGCCTCCTCCACGCTGGGCAGCCTGGGCCAGAAGATGGGGGGAGGGGGGTCAGAGGGCGTGGACACCCCACACCCCACCGCCACTCAGATGAGGGTCCCATCCGGGGCGTCCGACGTGGCCTTCCTACAAGGCGCCCGGCCGGCGTGGCTCAGTGGTGAGCGTCCGCCTTGGAACCAGGTCAGGGTTCGATTCCCGGTCAGGGCACAGGCCCGTGTTGGGGGCTCCATCCCCACTAGGGGGCGTGCAGGAGGCAGCCGGTCCATGATTTTCTCTCATCGTGGATGTTTCTCTCTCTCTCTCCCTCCCTAAATCAATAAAAAAATTTTAAAAAATAGGGGGACCTTGGGGACACCCTGGGCCCCACTCTTCCTGGCCCTCACACCCCCAAAACTGGGTGGCCAGACCAGCCTCCCCTTAGAAGGGGATTGGAGCCAAGACCAGTGTGGCTCAGTGGATAGAGCGCCGGCCTGCGACTGAAAGGTCCCGGGTTCGATTCCCGTCAAGGGCATGGACCTGGGTTGCGGGCACATCCCCGGTGGGGGGCGTGCAGGAGGCAGCTGGTCGATGTTTCTCTCTCATCGACGTTTCTAGCTCCCTATCCCTCTCCCTTCCTCTCTGTAAGAAATCAATAAGATATATATTTTTTTAAAAAGGAGGGGATTGGAGAGTCCGAGGCTGGGGGCGCAGGCTGGGTCAGTGGGGGCCGCACAGGCACAGAGCCTGGCAGCGTGGACGGAAGCCCCGGCCCTGCCCCTCCGGGGGTCGCCCTCCCCGGTGGACGCTCTGCCTCCCTGTGTGTCGCCCTGGGAATGGGTGCCCGGTGCCGGTCCGGGGAGGGTGTAGGACGGAGGGGGTCCTGTCCGGTGGGGACCGAGGGGACCTGACCTGCCTCTTCACGCCCCGAGCCGCCCCCTGAGACCTCTCCCGGCGGAGGAGGCGCCGCCGGGCCCCGCCCGCCCGCCCGCCGCCCACGCACCTGTCCGAGGCCGGCCGCTCGCCGAGCGGAGTGGACGGGGTGGACCGGGCCGCCTGCTCCTCCTCGGACGTGGAGCTGAGGTTCCGGTGGCGGCGCCGGCGCTCCCGCCTCTGCTCCTCCTCGTCCTCCAGGCTCCGCTGCTGGGCCAGGCTGTGGGGCGGGGAGAGGGGGCGGTCAGCGAGGCCGGGAGCGGCCGCGGCCTCCCCAGGGCGCCCTCTACGGTGGCCCCGGGCGCGGAGCCCACGCGCAGTCTGTGCAGATAACACACTGAGTGCGGGAAACGGCCGGTGTGGCTCAGTGGTGAGCGTCAGCCTATGACCCAGGAGGTCAGGGTTCGATTCCCGGTCAGGGGCGCACGCCCGGGTTGCGGGCTCCGTCCCCAGTGGGGGGCGTGCGGGAGGCAGCCGGTCCAGGATGCTCTCTCACCGTGGATGTTTCTCTCTCTCCCTCTCCCTCTCAGAATGAATAAAAGCATTTTCTAAAGGAGGAACAGGCGTGAGGAGAGGACAGACAGCCGCTGGCTATGTGACCTTGGGCCAGTCCGCAGCCCCTGAGGGTTGCACACCATAAGGGTCGCCCGTGGGGGTCCCTAAGGCCCCTCCTGGCCCGGGGGGCTCTGGGGACAGGTGTCGGGGAGCCCGGGGGCGGCCCTTGGGGGGGAGGGTACAGGGGGGAAGGGCTGAGGGGGGCGGGCGGGACAATGATTAACCAGGCACTGCTGGGCCGGAGTTCTCCGATCCACCTTCACCCCCTGCAGCCGGCCCGGCCCAGCCTCGCCCACGACGGGCGGCCAGGAGGAGAGGCCGAGGCTGCTGACCAGGCACCCCGCCAGCGGCTGGCCACAGCCCCTGCTCGCACCGGGCCGGAGCATCCACCCTGTGCCGGGGAGCGGCAGGAGGGCCCCCAGCTCCCTGCTCCCCGCTCCCCACAGGGGCCACACAGCTCACAGCCTCCCCCCAGCTCCTCCCAGCTCCCAGCTGAGTGCCTCGGGGCCCACTCCGCCCCCACCCCTGCCCCCCACCCAGCTGCAGAGGCTTGTTCCCGGAGCCGGGCAGGAGCCGCGTCAGGAGCAGCTGGGAGCCGCGGCAGCTGCCCACAGTGCTCCGAGGGCCGAGGCTGGCGGGGCTGGCAGGGGGCAGAGGGCCCGTCCAGGATGCCTCTGCAGCTGGCCTGGCC